TATTCTTATTTTTATCCCACAGACTAATTTAATAAATATTTATTGATTGACTTCCATGTATAATAGAAATATGGGGCCGGGCACGGTGGCTCAAGCCTGTAATCCCAGCACTTTGGGAGGCCGAGACGGGCGGATCACGAGGTCAGGAGATCGAGACCATCCTGGCTAACACGGTGAAACCCCGTCTCTACAAAAAAAAATACAAAAAACTAGCCGGGCGAGGTGGCGGGCGCCTGTAGTCCCAGCTACTCGGGAGGCTGAGGCAGGAGAATGGCGTAAACCTGGGAGGCGGAGCTTGCAGTGAGCTGAGATCCGGCCACTGCACTCCAGCCTGGGCGACAGAGCAAGACTCCGTCTCAAAAAAAAAAAAAAAAAAAGAAAAAAAAAAAAGAAATATGATGGGAAACAAGGCAGACATAGTCCCTATCTCGAGTAAAAATATACTAAAGAAATCTTGGGAAGATTACAATTAAAGACATAGCCATACTAGAGCCTTAAAAGCATTTAAAAAATTGTAAAATAATCAATTATAGGTAATGAGGCCTGAAGAAAATAATGGGAAATTCATTACACCTAAAAAACTTAGCCTATCGGAAGCTATTCTTTTTAAGGACATAATTTATCTTTTATCTTTCTGATACTAATATTTATTCTAAAAAGACTGAACAGTTCATATAATTCCTTCTTATTGGCAATGATGATGACTTTATTTCTCAAAATACAACAGTTTACTTTTAAAGTCAAATGATAAGAAATCCTTTACTAACCCTATTTCTTGTTAAGTCACATAAAATGTAGAACTCTCTGTACATAATTATCTCATCAGATCACCTCTATTTCTCTAATCCTAGTTTTTATTGTGATTTTATATTGTTCATTTTTAGGTTACCCTCTTTACTGTATGTGTTTTCAAACTTGCAAAGACAGTTTTTGGAAGAAGCAAAGCATAGCAAACTTTATTAAAGATGTGCAAACATGTTGAAAATACATTCCATGTATTAGACAGAAATTCTCCATTCCATATTAAGTGTAGTTATTTTCTTAATTCCATATGAAGTGCAGTTATTTCCATATTAAATGTAGTGGCCGCCTACGACATTCACAGAGCAAGCGTATTACTTATGCCTTTTAAGAGCAAGCACCACCCATTATATATGTATGTATATTTTTGTGTGACTGGTGAATAACTCTATTAGGACCAACATCAGTTTTGCACTTTCTCTTTGTTAACGAAGAGACTTGATCATGATTTGGTGACATAGGTTTTGTGATTGGCAGTGCACAGAGGCCAGGGAAGTGTATCATGTATATCGTGTTCGCATTCTCTATATTCATAGCCTTCATTTCAGCTGGGGTTGGACATGTGCTCCAGTTTTTGCCAATGATGACAGGGAAAATCTGATGAGACGATTTCTGAAAAACCTTTTTCCTTCTTATAAAAAGTTCATGGAATTTTCAGGCACTGCCTTTCCCCCTACCTTCATTGATTAAGAGGCCATGTCAAAGATATGACATATACTTTGTTATTGCAAGACGTTACCCAAGAAGATGGAAGCCAACAATCTCAGAATGTTGGAGAAAAGTTCAAGATCCCAGATGTCAGCGGGTGGAGGAAATGGGGAGATGTCAAACGTTATAAACTTCCAGTTATAAGAGGAGTTAAGTTCTGGGGATCTAATGTACAGTAAGGTGACAATAGTTAATAATAATATATTGTATACTCGAAATTTGTCAAGAGAGTAGATTTTAAGTATTCTTATCACATATGCATAAAAGAAAATTATGTGATGTGACAGATATGTTAATTAGCTTGATTATGGATAACATTTCACAACGAATATGTATGTGAAAAAATCATGTTGTACACGTTGAATATATGCAATTTTTATTTGTCAATTATACCTCAATAAAGCTGAAAACAAAATTCTGATGTTATGTCATCTTTAAGAAGCTGAACCAGCACTAGCAATATCTGCTATGGTCTTCTTACTATGTGGAAAAGATAAACTGCCATATATTTCAAAAAGTATTAGTTGGGGTTTTGGTTTATGGCAGCTGAACGTGTTCTTAACTTATGCACTTTCATACCTTTTCATTAGTAGTACTCCATAAATAATTTTTCAAATTGTTCTTTAATCAAGATGTCATGTATGTTACTTGTCACCCTCTCACTCGAGTGATCTAAATTAGTTGCTCGCTAATTTTTACCACAGCTAGTCAGTAGACCTTTTATAACTATTTGCCAAATGAAAATGAATAAAATTTTCATAATACTCATTTATGTTTTCTTGCTACATAAATTTCCTTCTCTTTCCTGTAACCTTGAGGTCAATTTATTTTTCCAGATCATAATTTTGATCATGCCTTTGTTTCTTGTTTATGTATCTTAAAGCCTGCTCCGTAGAGCCCACAGAAATCCAAATTTGTTACTCCATTATTTGAAGTCTTTCAAAATCTACCCTTAATATTTCTTTTCAATCTAATTTCACGTTATTGATTATAATCCAAACAAATGGCTGTCACTTTTTCTTACATAGCTAACCAACTTCAGGGAGGGGATACTAATTATTTTGCTGAAATGACTGACCACTCCTCATTTCTGCCTAGCAATCACTTGTTTCTCTTTTCAGTTCCATCTCAAATTTTATCTCTTCCAGAAAACCTTTCTTCACTCCTCAATTTAATCTACCTCCACCAAAGTGGAAACAATATTCTCCCACTCTGAACTATGAAACAGTAACTTGTGATTTCCTAACAACTTATGAATGCTGCTGAATATTATAGGTTTCTAAGTACAAGTCTTTCCTACTGTACTATATTTTGGATACTGTCTGTGCTTTTATGAATTTTGTTGCAGTGTAAAACACACAGAGGTAATGTAATATATGTATTGTAATATATATACAGAAACTATAAAAATCACAAATATAGAATTTGATGGATATTTAGGCACAGGAACACTGTTATATAACTCCCACTTAAATGAAGATATAGAACAAAACCAGTATATCCAGAATCCTTTCTAATGTTTCTTCCCAGTGACCATCCCCTGTGAAAGGTAACCACTCCTTTGATTTCCATCATCATATATTAGTATTGTCTGTTCTTGAACTGTATGTGTTATCATTTGTTATGAATTCTTTTGTGTTTGGCTTCTTGTGTTTATGAGCTATATTCATGTTGTTCATATGCATTGAGTTTGTTCCCTTTCATGAATATAGTATTTTGTGTGAATGTACCATAATTTTTATCCATACATTTATTTTATTCAAACATAACTTTTATGTTTATTGATAAACATTTGGTATGCTTCCAGTTTTTCACTATTATGAATAATGTTGCTATAATCATTCTTATGCAAGTGTTTTCGGAGCACATTAGATACATTTCCAATGAGTATATATCTGAGTGTAGAATTTGTGGTAATAGTGTGCATGTAAGTCCAGATACTCTGCTTTGCAAAGTAAAAAGAAAAAAATTCTCCACTTGCATCACAGATGACTGTATATATGTGGATCTATTTTGGAACTCTCCATTCTGTTTAATTATTTTCTTTGCCTGTTTTTATGCCAAACATCACACTGTTTCAGTAACTATAGCTTTATAATAAATCTGAATGTCTGATAGGATAAATCTTCCATTTTTTATCTCTTAATTTTCTCTACCATTCTTGTCAATACATTGAAAAGAATATAATTGTTATAAGTACATGGAACTATTTATTACAGATTAACTTAGCAACATTTGGCATTGTTAAAATTCTGAGTTTTCTAATTTATGGAAATAGTATATCCCTTCATTTATTTAGGTCTTCTTACATTTTTGTCATAATTATCTTGTAGTTTTCCATGTTGATGTTTTGCACCTCTTTCCTTAGAATTGTTTTCATTTTATTTATTTTACTTGCCTTATTGAACTTGCAAAAAACTCCAAATGATAATAAATTGAAGCAATTATAGCTGGAATCCTTGTCCTGCTCTCTTTCTCAATCTCTGTCATTCATTATTTTATTGCTAATGTGACTTTTGCTGGAGAATTTTTGCAGATATGCTTTATCAGATTTTTTTAGACTATGATTTCTGGTTTAATAACAGTTTTTAACATGAATAGGAAGGATTAACCTTCTATTCCTAAGTATCTGATACAGAAGTTGTATATCCACAGTAAACAAATTAAAAGCTGGTCAAAATATATGAAACGACTGTTTTTAGCTATTGAGACAAGTAGTGTTGGGCTGTGATTCCTCATAAAAGGGAAACAAATTAGATTGTCCCTATTGAATTTCCAGCTTTCTTCATGGTGGCAATTTCTAGACTCCAGTGCAAGGAGGGGAACTGAAGGAGAATAAGGTGGTTACATTCAGTGAGAGCCTGATAGCAGAGTTTGGTTAGACTAAAGCAGCTGAAAATTGTGGAATGTAAGATCAGAGAGGAGACTGCCACACAAAGAACTCCAAAAATGTGAGCAATGATCTCCTGTACTCTGCTGTCAAATACTAAGCTGTGCATTAACAATGTTGCTGCATTATATGTAGATGTGGCCAACACCCCAAAATATGGTGCTTCTGTCTCTCCCAAAGCATAGAATGAAGTTGTTCTCTGAAGTCTCCTTATCTACCTAAAGTCTGGACCTGTCAAAAGAAAATAATGACCTCTGGTCACTTCCCTAAATTTTCATTAACTGAACTCTTACCACAGGACGAAAGACTGAAGTCTGGCAACATACCTGGGCGCACTTTTGTCACTAACCACTGTCTCTTCTGTGAGCCCAAAAGACTTCATTCCGGGCCATTGTATGTTCTTTAAGCTCACTGAATTACCCTAACAATCATTTACTACCCCCCTAAAATTATCCACACTTCTCCATTTCACTTTTCCCTACGAAGGAGAACATGTAACCATTTGTATCCCATTGCATGGTAATCACTCTGTGTTTCTCCCCCAGGTACATTAATAACTTTGTATGTCTTTTCTCCTATCAATCTTCCTTTTTTTTTTCAGTTTGATTTTCAGCAAACCTTCAGAAGGCAAAAGGGAAAGTTTTCCCATGGGCCAACATGGATTGTTTCTGTAATAGTCTGTTCAGGCTTCTACAACAAGATGTCACAGGCTGGGTGACCTAAACCATGAGTCCTCAAACTCCGGCCATGGATCGGTATGGGTCAGTGGCCTGTTAGGAATCAGGCAGGCCACGCAGCAGGAGGTGAGTGGTGGGCAAGTGAGCATTACAGCCTGAGCTACGCCTCCTGTCAGATCAGCAGTGGCATTAGATTCTCACAGGAGCACAAACCCTATTGCTAACTGTACTTGCAAGGGATCTAGGCTGCATTTTCCTTATGAGAATCTAATGCCTGATGATCTGAGGTGGAACAGTTTCATCCCAAAACCATCCTCCACAGTCCCCTTCATGAAAAAAATTGTCTTCCACAAAACTGGTCCCTGGTGCCAAAAAAGTTGGGGACTGTTGGCTTAAACAACAGAAATTGGTTACTCACAGATTTGGAAACTGGGAAGTCCAAGATCAAGGTACCCACTGATTTGGTTCCTGGTAAGGGCTCTCTTCCTGGTTTGCAGATGGCCATATTTTTACCATATACTCATATGACCTCAACTTTGTGTGCGAGTGGGGGAGAAAGAAAAAAGTTCTCTTTTTATAAGGGCACTTCTTATAAGGGCACTTCTCTTCTTATAAGGGCACTTAATCTAATAGGATCAAGACTTCACCTTTATGACTTACAGGCCCTGTCTCCAAAAAGTAGTCATATTAGGGGTTAGATTGTCAACATATAAATCCGGGGAGGGGGATTGGCAGGAGGTCCCAATTTTGTCCACAGGAGTTTCTGTTGTCTGTTTCCCTCCCCTTTCATGTATCTTACTGTACCCGGTAAATTTTGCCTGAATGTCAGAAATTATACATATATAATTGTTATCTCAGGGCCATATTCTCTTCTACCACCAATGATTCATCTTCCTGTAGGAGGCAGCTGGAGTATGAAACAGATTACCTTAATGCAATCAAGACCAATCAGATTTACGGTTGGTTTTTTGTGGTCATAAGGCTCAGATGCTCTTTAATTTACCTCCACTCCTAAGACATAGCTCTGCAGAGTCTCTAGCTGGAGACCTAACTCCAGTTATTGTTTGATCAGATACTTGTGTATGCTGAAAACTCTTCTCTCCCTGGCAGCAGCTTTCTGTTTTGCTTCTTAGCCTCTTTCCATGTTCACCTTAAGGAATTAGGATATTTCTCAAAAGAAAATATCCAAAGTGTTCCCTTCTCCCCATCTTTGAAAACTCTGAGACCATTGTCCCCAAGTCTTACTTGTTGTGTCCTAAACAAAAATTATTCGCCAGCCCCATTCAATTACCAAAACCTGCTCAGCTTATCTGTTTTGGTTATGGTCCTTTGTCCTGTTTTTCAGATTCCCACTTTCCCAAGACCATAACCTGGCAGATTCCCTGAGGGGAAAATGTCGTCTTATCCTTTGTTTTTGATTTTCTGCTTCCTCATTTGCCTTAGCAGCAATATGGTCTTTTCAATTTGATTTTTAAACATTTTATCCAGCTTTTCTAAATGTATTGACTGAAGTATTGGTCTGCCACGAGCTGCTGCATCAGAGCCAGAAGTGAAAATATGACTCTTTGACATGTCACTTAGTACCTAATATATAATAAATGTTAGCTAAATCTAAATACTTAGTGACTGAAAACAAGAATAAACAAATTTAAAAATACCTTTTTATTTGGTAAAGAGACCTTGATCAAAGTGCTGAATCTAGTATTAAATTTTCTTGGAAATTATAACAATGTTCAAACTATCCTATCAACGGTTGTATTTTTTTTTTTTTTGAGGGGGGCATGGGTGTTATGTCACAGAGGTTATAGCAGAAACAAATTCTGGGGACAGAATATGTAAGAATATTTCACATTTTCTTCTTCTACCAATGTGATAATTGAGAACTGGAAATATTAGTTAAATTAATGTAAGAATACGTAGAGAAGCTTAAACTTTTCTGCTAGTTACTACAATTTTACAAAAGGACACGAAGTATATTAGGTTAAAATTTCTTAATGTTGGGTTAATTGTAATAAATAAGATTTCTTTAATTTTAGAGCACCTGATTAGCTTTATTTAACATATGAAATGCTAGTCAATGAAAAATTAAAAAGGGTTAATGTTTTGACATGCATATTTCATTATTTAGCCTGATATTTCTAATATTTTCAATGCATATTAATAAAATGAGTTGAGAACTTGGCATTTCTCCTACAAAGAATAAGAAGATAGACAGTACATGAAGGTTATGCCTCCTATTCTAGTTTTCTTCCAATTTAAATTTGGCAAATCTCACAGTTTAATATTTACAGATAAATGATGGACTACAGGTAACTTCTAGCTACTATGGAGTTAACATGATTTTCAGATGCCTATTTAAGGCATGAGAAATCGATAGCATCTAAACCTTAATTTCTTTCTCTTTTTAAAATTTATTTATTATTTTTATTATTTTATTTTTGAGATGGGGTCTTGCTCTGTCACCCAGGCCGGATTGTAGTGGCATGATCTCAGCTGACTGCAACCTCCACCTTCCAGGCTCAAGTGATTCTCCCACTTCAGCCTCTCAAGTAGTTGGGACTACAGGCACATGCCACCACAACCAGCTAATTTTTGAACTTTTTATAGAGACAGGGTCTTGCTATGTTGCCCAGGCTGGCCTCAAACTCTTGAGCTCAATGATCTGCCTGCCTTTGTCTCCCAAACTGGTGGTATTACAGGTGTAAGCTACTGCCCCCAGCCTAAACCTTAATGTTAAATCTACTCTCTCACTTTAGTTTACAACTGGGCCTAAAGAATCAAGATTAAGTATAGAAAAGTTCTGAGGGTCTTTGGTTTGAAGAGACTATAAGTGTAAAAGAAAAATTGCACTGGATAGAGTTAAACAAGAAGACTTTATTCAAGACAACTGCAGCAGGGAAGAGAGATTGAACTTAATCCCAATGAAACAAAAGGCAGGAGAGTTTTTAAGCACTGGGATGAACTAATGAAAAAGAACCAGAGGACTATAGGCTGATGTGGTCCACTGTGTTTGCTAATTGATGCTTATGGAAGTTAAGTTCCTAGCCTCCCACCTAGACTGGGAGACAGGAGCTCTATCTTCTTTGATGATTACGTTTCAAAGGAATAGTTGCCAGGTCCTTGAAAAAGAAATGCCTGGATTGTAAAACTGGAAAGAGGTTGGCAGAAGATTTAAATCTCAAAAAGTCAGGAACTGATTTACAATAAAAAATTGTCTGAGGTAGGCTGGGTGCAGTGGCTCACTCCTGTAACCCCTGCACTTTGGGAGGCTGTGGCAGGTAGATCACTTGAGGTCAGGAGTTCTAGTCCAGCCTGGCCAACATGATGAAACCTCATTTCTACTAAAAATACAAAACTAGTTGGGCGTGGTGGCAGGAGCCTGTAATCCCAACTACTCTGGAGGTGTAGGTTGCAGTTAGCCAAGACCAAGCCACAGAATTCCAATCTGGGTGACAGAGCAAGACTCCATCTCAAAAATAAATAAATAAATAAATAATTGTCTAAGGTTAATTCTCTGACAAAACGGATGTCAGGGCCCTAATATCAAGAAGAAACCTACTTAATGTTTAGTCAAGCTGAGGGGAACATTAAGGCCTTCTTGGTCACAATGTAGCACAAAACCTGTGGGATCCCATATAGAAATTCTGTCTGTCTTTTTTCCTCAGTCCATATTTGAAATAACAACACTACAACACTCCTTTGGTAGTTATATTTTCTCACCTTCTTTACAGAAGAAGAAATCCTTACTTAGAAGAGGTAAGTAACTTGACCCTAATGACCTAGCTGGAAATGACAGGTCTCTGTGAGATTCAAGAGTCTGTTTTCCTAACCATTGTGTTACACAGATGAAGTAGACCTAATTGTGACATCCTTTTCTTCTTTTATGCCCTTTTTATTTATCCTTATGTTGCCTTTATCCAAATTAATTCACTGGGGCAGTCTGACAAATCTAGTTTACATTTCATTAATTATGTGCATGTTAATAACAACTCTTAACCCCAAACATTACCACGGTTCAGTGACAGAGGTTATTAAGAAGGATATAAATCCTCTATGTGCACTGGATGGCTCCCAAGGAAATAAGAGAGAATTGGCACGTTTTACTATCAGTGTTATCAGAGTCATATTGTAGGCAGCTCCCTTCTATCAAGTCAACAAATAAAATAATGGTAACTACCTTTTTTGGTGGATAACATGTTAGCCTCCATGCTAAGAGATTTGCATAACTTTTTTCAATCAGCTGACCTAGGATCTAGAGAGAGAGCAATGTTCTCCATTTTAAAAGTGAGAAACCTGAGTTTTAGAGAAGCTGAGTAACTTGCACAAGGATAAGTCACTTTAGCAATATTCATAGTTATTACAATCTGAATCTGGAATTGAATTTGCATTAGCTCATTCCCGTGGCTGTGCTCAAGGGCTACCCTCTACTGCTCTGGTTCTGGGCAATATGTCAGCTTCGTCCCTCTTTTCTTTCTGAAGGAGACCATAGAATATCACCCCAAAATATGGCACCCTAGCATGCTTAAGTATTTTGAAATGAAGGCCCTTGGAGATCAGCAGGTGCTAGGAGAGGCTTTTCCCCTATCTGCAGAGGGACTGGGCACACCCACAAAGAAAACAATTACCTTCTGTCCCTTCCCTGAGTTTTCATTAGGTAAACCCATATTGTAGGGAGTGGGGAATGCAACTACACATGGACAAGTTTATTTCATCAGGAGCCACTGTCTATTCCCCTAGACCCCTTCAGTTTCCAAACCATTGGTTAGTAGCCAAAGTTACTAACCATTGTCTGAGCATTGGGCCTATTCATTTCCCCTAACATTATTTACTCTACATTTCCTCATCTCCCTTCCCCTGTGAAGAAGGGTTTATAAGCATGTGCACTTCATTTGGTTTTGGATAATCATTCTACTGTGATTTTTTACCCACACATGATAAAATAAATTTGTATGCCTTTTTCTCCTATCAATGTGACTTTTGTCAGTTTATTTTTAGCAAATCTTCAGACTGCAAAGGGGAAGTCTCCCCCCTTCACTCCTTTGCTTCTTTCCTTTCTTCATTTCCTTCCTTTTATTTTCTGCCTTCCAATTTACCTTGACCACCTTTTTTTCAATTATCTCACAATC